AATCTCTGTAGTACTGGGGCCTATGACTATATGCGTAATGCTTAATGACTTTTACTTGCATTAAATCTATCTTAGTTCTTACCTTATTTGAGTCATTTCTCAGATCCTGAAATTCTTCACATTATTTTATAGAAGAGAAAAATGAGGTCCAGTTGCTAAAATTAAATGATAGGTTCCGATCACACTGCTACCTGGAGGCAAGAGGTATTCCTACCCAGGGCAGAAGGCTGCGCCTAAACATAGGCAAAGGTGGTGCCTCTGCTGGGGCCCGTGCTGTAGTCCCCTCCCCTTCCTCCTACACATATGTGGTTGGGGTCAAGGAAAAAGACAGGCCTGCTGAATCTCATAGGACCTCTCGAGCCCCTTTCTATGATTCCTGGTGTGACAGAAGCCATCAAGCTTTGCTGAGATATCATGGGCCATGGAGGAGAGTAGAGAGACTACTGGGGCTCTCCATGGAGTTAAAAGGTGAGTTAGGGCCAAAACATGGCAGCCTGGACCCAGTGCACTGACCTCAACTCTCAAAACCATCATCGATAGCCGCAGCATCCGTGCCTGGCCAAGGTAGCGGAGACAGAGTTCAGTGTGGGCAGAGACTAGGTCTTCAGTCTTGTTATCACTTCTCTGTCCAGAAATTCATTATGTGTTTCCTCTGGGAGAGGATCGAGGACAGATGCCTAAAGGAGGTGGTGAGTGTAGGTGAGGGCACAAGAAGGCACTAGTCCTTCACGCTGTGGGTGACATGAGGCATAGGCACAGGGGCATTGGCTCAGGAAATGTAGGGTGTAGGAGGAATGGCTGGGAATGACATCCATGAAGACAGTGGGACCCATGGAACAGAGGTCTGTGTGCTTCATGCTGAGGAATCTGGACTTTTCCCCTGCAAACTGTCCTCTATTGCAGCATCTCCAGAGTGGGTCCAGGACAGTGGTGCCGGTGCACAGGAGAAAAGGAATGCCCTCATTTCTTCTACCAAGTGATTACTTTTTGTTTTTACTTTTGTTTGCTTATAAATTTCTAGGGCAGAGCTGCGGAGATCAAATCCTAAAAGGATATGGGAGTATTCTGATTTCATGTAATTTTTCCCTTCAAATAAAGAAAAAACTGAAACTAATGCTTTATACCCTTGAAAGAAATTTTATAAAAATACTTTCACATATATAATACATAAGTATTGTGTATATATATATATATATATATATATATAGTATATATGTGAGTATATATTTTATATAATATATTTTATTTTGTAAAAATATTTTTATAAAATATTTTAGTAGTCTTATTTTTTATACTTTTTATAAAATGCTTTTTATAAAGTAGTTTCATTTTTATTAACTTTTATTTTTGTTTTTTTATTTTTTATTCTTTTAAAAATACTTTTTAGAAAGTATTTTAGAAAGTATTAATACTTTCACATATATAATCTGTGGTATATATATAGTATATATAAAATATATGTTAAGTATATATATGTATATATATTTAGTTTTATGGTCTTTTGTAAGACCATGTTTTGATTTAAAAAACAGAATACATTTTTTATAAATAATGTTAATCCAAGGATTCCATATTTATTATAGAAAAATGAGAAGATATAGTGTAGTGAAAATGAAGAATCTAAAATTTCCCATCTCCTTTCCCTCAGAGACAACAGTTCACGTTTTGCTGTATCCCCCTCTGAATTTCTTTCTCTGCAGATATTTATGTATCTTTGCAAAATACAATGATATTGTAATACTATTTTGAAATTTTAAAATTTAATATACTTTGAACACTTTCTTATATCCATAAATATATTTCAACAGCGTAATTTTCAGTCTCTAAATATCACAGGAACATTCCTAAATATATTACAAAGTGAGTTTTCTTTTGCTGGACATTTAGGGTGTTTCCAGTGTTTTGCTATTATAAACAACACTACAAAGAACATCCTTGACAATAATCATTGCGCACATCCTGCATTATTTCCTTAGGATAAATTTCTAGAAATGGAATTTTTAAACCAGGGAATCTGTACCCATTTGAAGACATTTGAGATGTATTGTGTTGTTCATCACAAAGGTTGTGGTGATTTATATTCTATCAGCAGAACTCCAGAAGCGTCTTGTACTGACTCAGAGTGAGATTTGTAGAGATAAGTACAATACAGGTTGAGGACTTGGTTTCTGGGGTTTTGCACCCGATTCCCTTAAAGGAAAACTGATCGGACCGCGATAGCCCTTGGCTTGATGAGTGAAACCAATTAAGGGGCACATCAAGGGATTTCAGTGAGATTAGACTTCTCCTTTCCCCATTTTAAAATGAACCTAGTGGCTTTCAGGCAAATTGTTTATGTATCATTTTGAGAATATCCTGTTCCACCATTAAGAGAAGAAAGTCTATTCCCAGAATGGACTTATTTCTAGGAAGTACAGTTGTTACATAAAAAAAAAAAAAAAAAAAAAAGTCCTCCTATGTTGTTAAAAGAAAACAAAAAGGTGATTTTGGCTAACATCAAAGGATGGAGCTTACAGGGAATGACTTGCGTAGGATGGTGGAAGACGGGTCTTCTCTCTGCGAGGGCTGAGCAAACCATCCTCTGCACAGAACCCAAGATAAAAAGAACTTATCCTAAGACTTCAGTGTGATCCATTTTTGTAGAAAGAGGAATTCTGACATGTCATGAAAAAAGAAACATTTTATCCCTGAAAGCCAAATTCTCACCCAGTGACAGAGTCATCTGAACTTCAATTAACTGCATGACACTAACTTTCCATATCTACAGTTTTCACAGACTAACAACGTGTTTTCAAGTGTTTGGATGGCAAAGAAATATGTACACTTTTCTGTCATTGCCACCGTTGGAGTTTTTGTTGATATTCTCTCTGCAGCAAAACCAGAGTTCTCTTTGGTTTTCAGTTTCTGTGCACTGATTTTTAAGTGAGAATGTGGGTGTTTTAATATTGGTAGACATCTAATGCTAGCTGGTCAAGTTGAAGATGGTTGTGCCCTGTAACTCAGAAGTCCCACATCTGGGCACTCAGCCTAGGTCGGTATGTCCCCAAGTTTAATTCGAAAATGTAGATGCTGGTTCCACAGGTCTGGGTGGGGCCTGAGAGTCAGATTTCTAATCAGCTCCCAGGTGATGCTGATGCTGCCGGATTGGAGGATCACCCCTGGAGTAGTGAGGCCCAGAGCAGATGGTGTGAACCTTGGCTGCGTGTTATAGTCACCTGGGGGAGCTCTTACCAACTGTGATGCCCAACTGCCCTCCAGCCTAATTCAGACTCTCCCTGGGGAGACCAGGCATCACTAGTTTTTCAGTCTCCGCAAGTGATTCCAACAAGGACCCCAGGCTGTGGACCAGTGAGGGCTCCTTCACGCATATGCAGGGAGATGGACAGGGGATGTTCGATAAATAAATTGGGACTGGGGGAGACCCAAGAGCTGCTTAATGATTGAGTATATCTTTGTGAATTAACTTGGCTATATCTTGAAATTATAACATTGAGTGCTGATAGTAAATCAGCTATTGTTTATGTTAACTTTAAAAACACAAAAGAATATATGCAGTTTAAATGGTAAAAATATTAAAATATATATAGGAATGATACATGTACTAACTTCAGGATAGTGGTTACTTATAACCACTAACTGCTAACCTCAGGATTGGTATTTGCAGTAGGAGAATGGAATGGGGATGGGTAGATTCTACTGGACCTGCAATAATTTCTTTCTTCTTTGAAGCTGGAGGGAAGGAAGGGGAAGAGAAAGGAAGGAAGGATGGGAGAAGGAGAGCGAGTAAGAGAACTCTGGGTGTATGACTGGCTGGTTGTTTCTCACTATTATTGTTGTTTATCTCTGTAAACCTAAAAATGTATTTCAACAGCATACTGCATGCTTCATTCTTGAGTAGCCTAAAATATTAGTGGGACCAAACAAGGATCCGAAAGTATTAGCTAAAAAGTGACTCCCACAACTGACTTTCATTCAAGAGGATTGGAACATCCCGGCATGCCTGACCCCCAAGGGCTTGTCCTGGGAACTGAGATCAGTGCTCTTAGTTTATAGATGGGACAGATACAGACAGGAGAAGCAGCTGCCCACAGCAAGGTCCAGAAAGTGGAGAAATGGTGGTATTAAAACTCAGGGCTCCAGCTCTCTGGCCAGGGGTCTCAGGGTGCAGGGCCCAAGGGAGCAGCTGCCACGTTTAGCACACATTCTGAAGACCCTACCACTGAGGGTGTTTACCACGGATGTCCCGGCTGGCGTTTCTGTTGGAGATCACCTGCTCCTTCTCCCCAGGGCCCTGCCCTCCCTGTCCCGTAGGTGGCAGTGGAGTGTGACGACGTGGCCTGCATCCTGTGGGGTATTTGTGCTCGGTGGCCAGCTGCGGAATGCAGAAACCACTCACCAACCTAACTCCTGCAGGTGCAAAACCAAACACCCTGTAGGAAAAGTCTGGAACTGACAGCTCTCTGTGAGGAAGGCTGGCTCACGGGGAGGGGCTAGAGTCTTGGTGTACCTGTATCTCATTTCCAATTCTGTGGTCAGTATTTTTCAGTATTTTGCATACATACTGTTATTATTATTCTTTTTGCTGTTGTTGTGATCTGTAATTAGCACCTTCCTGGCATGTGTTGCTAACTCTTATTTCCATATAAATATATCAGTAGTTTTTTAAGAAAAGGAAGTTTACTCTTCCTATTCTTTTTCAAATGAGTAAATAAAAATGGACATGCGTGAGAAAAAAGAATTTTAAAAATCTCATGCCTACAGGAAACTTGAGATTGTCTGAGCAACAGAGAGGGTGGGTGATGTGAATAATCCCAAGATGCCAGAACTATTCACTCGAAAGACAATGATCTATGGATGTGAGGCAGCCTTGGTCTCTCCCGCTGGCTGGAGGCTGTGCTGGTGGAAGGCAGCCGGTGGGAAATCCCTCCTGGACGGGGATCTGCCCCAGATGCAGACGCCTGGCTTCAGGAGTTGATTGAATTTGTTTCCACCCCTTTCAGATCCTACGCTATGGAGTACAGACCATGTGCGGCAGTGGCTGGAGTGGGCGGTGAAGGAATACGGCCTCCCAGATGTCAACATCTTGTTATTCCAGAACATCGACGGGAAGGAGCTGTGCAAGATGACCAAGGACGACTTCCAGAGGCTCACCCCCAGCTACAACGCCGACATCCTTCTCTCACACCTCCACTACCTCAGAGAGAGTAAGCTGCCCACTTCCTCCAAGGATAGATGGCTGTGGCTATGGGTCTTGTGACCTGAGCCTCAGAGGGTTCCAACAGGTGTGTCGACAGCATCTTCCTTCCCTCCTCCAGTTCCCATTGGGGATCTGAGGGAACCACAGGCTTGGTGTGCAATGACTTAGGGGGACAACACCCTGGCCACATCAGCTGGTGAGAAGTAGTCAGCGCTCTCGGGAGAAGCCCAAAAGTCCCCTCAGCACTCAGCTGCCTCCTCCAGGGTCTTGCCACCAAGAAGATGGAACGTCAGAAGGAAAGGAAGCATTAACTGGTCACACATGAGTTAGTCTCCATGATAACCCAACCTGAAATAGAAACATTAGGGAAAGGCTCCTTTTTAGTAGGAATCAGGGGGGTTATTCTCCTTAAAGCTACACCAAGCCCCACTTTGTACTCTAACCTGAACACAGAACAAGGGAAGTTTTCACTTTGTATCATGTGATTGGGCTTAACCTGACAGAATGTGATGGCATGTTGGCATGAGTCCAGAACGTTTGCTGCATGCTTTAATTTCTACAATGTCCAGCATGTTTACATGGAAGTACCGTGACAGACGGTGAGGTGGAGTCAATTCTCCTCCATTGCTTTGCCTGGCATCCCAACCACTTCTTCCCTGAATTAAAGATGGGCCTCCATGTCGGTTTTAACATGCTAACAAGTAGGAGGTTGACGGAAATAGTGATCAGCTGCCCATGATGTTAGGGTGGGAGTGGGGGAATGGTTTTCTTTCTTTCCTTTTTTTTTTTTTTTTTTTTTTTTTTTTGTAAGAAAGGTAATTCTCTCTCTCTTTTTTTTTTTTCATTTTGATGTCGCCTTTTGTTTTGTTTTGTAGCTCCTCTTCCACATTTGACTTCAGATGATGTTGATAAAGCCTTACAAAACTCTCCACGGTTAATGCATGCTAGAAACACAGGTAATACTGGCCCCACCCCTGCCTCCTAGCAAGAGCATAGGGTCTTCCGTACAGCTTGCATGTTTTCGTGGGAAACCGGTCAGTGCGTGTCAGGAAGACAGAACACAGGTAGATGATTCAGGATACTTTCCAATACTTGGAGATTCCACAGCCTGAAGGAAGGTGAAGCTCTTTGGTTTTCTGAGCGCTTCCTGTGCACCCACCCTTTGATTATCAAAGGGTTCCTTTTAACCGGGAGACGTGTAGAATTTGCCTTCAGCCATAACTTTAGCTCACATTTGCCAGAGTACAGTCTTCTTCTGTTAATCCCAGTATATTCGCTGTGCTGATTCTGTAGACAATAAAAGCATGTTCGATATAAAAGGGCCCTTAGCAGCCTCCTTTAATTTCTTTTCATTTTTATTCTTAAAGAAATATTTGCTAGGATAAGTTTGAGTTTTATTTTTCCCTTCCAATAAACTTTTAGGCTATTTGATTTGTTTTCCTACTGAATTTGTATGTTTGCAAAAGGCAGAAGGAGGGAATTTCTGTAGCATTGTGAGAGCTTTTGTTCAGAGAGAAACTCTGCTATAATTTTGGAGAATGTGAAATTAGTCACTAACCAAATGCCTGCTTTCTATCTCTAACCATTGACTCTACATTTGACTTATTTCTGTATTTATTTTGTTTGAGCCTAAATAGGGTTTAACGCCTTACCTCATCCTGGCTAACTTTCCTCCCTCGCCTCCTGTTCACAGTAGAGGTTTGGTTTTCTGTGGATGAAGGTAGTCCTTGTTCACATCCATCTGCTCCTTCCTGATGGAGAGAGTTCCGGAAGCATGGCCACCAGCTGCTCACCCCACCTTGTTACCTGCAGGGACCCTCCACAACCACCCAGGCTAGGGATGGAGACAGGAAGTGCCAGGAAGTCTTAGATAGCCCCTTGCAAGTCAGCCAGTTAACTCATGGTCAGCCCTCACGTGGAAATACATTTTCCCAATATTTATCATTTTATTTTAAAATAGAAAATGTGAATGAGTCCTGGTTTGAGTATTACAGTGAAATTGCTCATTTATCATGGTCTTCTGTATTCAAAGCATTGTATTTTTAATCTGAAGCTTTAAAAAACCTGTTTTGAGTTGGTAGTACACTTTTTCAATCTTTTTGGTTGCACACATCAGCCTATTAATGACCTTGTGCCAGAAATAGTAGATAACTCAGAGGAAGTTACTTCCCCTTCTTAGGAAACACCTTTGAGCTTGCACATTTTCTGATAAGTTTATATTTATTTTGGAATTCTTTAACCATGGAGTGAAAGTTTCAAAAAAGTTATTTAATTTTGCTATTGTTAAACACAGAAGCAGCCAATCAACAGGACAGCAAGTTCCAAATGGACTGAATTGCGAAAAGGGAATCTTCTCAGCTAACAACATGAGTGTTGGTCAAAAGAGAGAAAGGGGAAATGCATTTGAATAGAGATGTGGATTGATTAATTATTAATAAAATCCATGTACTCTTAGACTAAATACTTAGAATTTCTTGGTACTACTTTCCAGGAGCTCTGTAAAATACATTATGGTTTTTTATACAATTTGAAAAATCGAACATGCATCATATAATTTTTTAATAAAATGAGATTGCCCAGTGGGAAGTGGGGTTTGGGAGGCACAGATGGGGTTTCATCAAGAAGCCATAAAATCAGAACACAAAACGCTTTATAGCAAATGGGGCACAGGCGTGTGCCAAGGCTCCAAGTTCACATCCACCTTGAGAATCTGACGTGTGTACCTGTCCATTTCTCCGGAGCTCTGTCAAGGCAGGTTTGAGGAGGGCTCTTCCTTTTGTTGTCACAGGGCAAAGTAGATTTGGCGCTGATGTTGAGATCGACAGCCACAACAAAAGACCTTCACATGTTTGTCTTTCCTTTTGTCTGCAGGGGGTGCAGCTTTTATTTTTCCAAATACTTCAGTATATCCTGAAGCTACGCAAAGAATTACAACTAGGCCAGGTACGAAAACACCCCTGTGTGATCTCTTCATTGAGAGACATCCCAGATGTCCTGCTGAGATCCATGCCCTAAGTCACGCGGCACACAGAGAGCTGATCCCGGATCTGAAGTCAGTCCCAGACAGTCTTATTCTGCCTCTGTTGATTTGGAGACTAAATCCACTCAAACAATTTCATTCAAAGACCACACTAAAGGAATTCAGAGCAGATCAGCCCTTTAACTAGCTCTTCAGAAAGACAGATGGGCAAAGAAGGCATCCTGGATGGCTGGCAGCTAGGAATATGTCCACTTTTGAGCCAATGGAAGGATCCATCCCTCCTCGGGGGAAGAGCACAAAACAAAGACACTCCCCAGATTCACAGGGACCAATTCTCTGTATGGCACAAGAAGTCTTGCAGGGCAGAAGCATGCAATCGATAGTGTTGACATCTGAGTCTTACTGCCTATCTTCCAGATGATTTAATTAGGTAATTAATTTACATGCCAATCATGCAAAAATAAACATCTGTCAAGTACCCATCAGTGCCAAGCGTGATGTTAGATTCTGGGAATATAGAGATGAACCAGGCTTCAGTAAGCTTCCTGTCTTCAGGAAGTTCCCTTCTTCATTCAGCTCGACTTGCTCATTTGCTAATTGCCTCCTCTGTGCTAGCCACAGAGGGTATGGCGGTGAACAAGCCAAAATGTTTTGCCTCAAGTTCTAGATGTTTCAGTAGAGAGACCTAGAACCAGAGAGTGAGACATGAACATGTAAATGTTTTCCCTTGTGTGATAGATTTTATGGTAGAGATACCACTTACAGCAATAGAGGCTGCAGGAGCGGGAGCAGGGAGGAAGTCAATCCCCAGTGAAAGGCATAAAGATGCTTTCCAAAGGAATGGCCACATGGCAGAGAGGAATTAGCTGTTTGCCAGGTGAATAATGAACAGGGAGGGAGAGCATTTCATAAAAGGGTATTGCATGCCTTAAGCATCCGTCCCCTCCCTGGGACTGACAGTAGCCTCGTGAGCTAGGTACCACTGTGCCAGCCATGACATTGTGTTCAGGGTGGTGGGTTGGTTTCTCCATATTCATACATGCTTCCAGAATCCATGTTAAACTCAGGCTACTCCTCTTCCATGTCTATCACATATCCAGGACATGCAAGTCTCAGTTTGAACTGGTTCAAGATGCAGGCTTGGTGACTACTCTTTCATTCTAATGAGAAATACTGGGGACCTAGTGAGCTAAAGAGAATGAATGAGGAAGCTTCTCAGGCTGTGGAAGTCCTGACACTGCCCTATTACTGCCTAGTGACTTTAGGATGGCAATTTTCTCTTCTCTAACCTCAGAGAAAAAGTTTTCTCTCTTGCTCCTGGAAAGCAGGACAGAAAGGCTTAGCTAAGAGGTGCTAAGAGTTAGTGAGTCACCTCTGTCGTGTAAGAGATCTCACAGGCCACTGAAACATGGGCGAGACCCAGTGCCTAGAGTCTACTAGACTGGTCTTAAAGAAATCCACCACATGTATTTAAAATGGAAAATAGAAATTCACATTTGAATCAAGCTGTAGGGATTTTGTAATTCTGTGAGCATTTAAAAAATATTTCCGTCGGCTGAGGCAGGAGAATTGCCTGAACCCAGGAGGCGGAGGTTGCGGTGAGCCGAGATCGCGCCATTGCACTCCAGCCTGGGTAACAAGAGCGAAACTCCATCTCAAAATATATATATATATATATATATATATATATATATATATATATATATATTTCCATCTATACTTAACGAAATAAAAACTATCCCCAAAACATTTGGCGGGGGCTGTAAAATGTTTTTTCCTTTCTAATTTTGTATTTGTTTGTTTAGGTTAAGACATCTCATACATGCCTCTGACTGAGTTACAAAGCCAGGGTTGCGAGCTGGCGTTAGAAATTGTGTTAAAAGATCACAACACTGGCACAGCCTGTCCGTCAGATAAGCCAGCTGACTGATGGATGCTACCTGGATGAGACAGTGGGTCCTGGAGCTGCTTTGTTTTCACATTTTAGGATATAGTAGAATTGTAGGGAGAGGTCCATCCAGGTGGATGGAGAAGAGGGTGGCTGTGAGGGTTTTGCTTGGGACTCCCTCTCTGCCCAGCCCAGGGAAGGCAAAGGTGGCAAACTCAGACACCTCCCATGTGCTTCTCTGACGGTGCCATGGCCCTATGATTTGAGCATGACCTGGGAGAAAGCATGCTTCCACATCTCCACTACTAGTCAAGTACATTTTTGAGACTCAGTTTGTACCTGAAATAGCCTGTTTTGACTACTGCTACTGTTCTCAAGAGAAGTGAGACAAACATTGGTATCTGACCTGTAAAGATGTAAAGCAGAGTGAACAAGCCAGAGGACTATTTACTGTAGCCTCTATTCAGGGACTTGACCTTGGAGATAAGAACCAGTTCTATACCTTGGGTCATCCATTGCTAAGCAATTAACCTTAAAGGACTGGTCCTGTGGAGATAAAAGCTGTGCATCTGCAGCTGGAGAATGAATGTTGTGATGGCTGAGGGGGAAGAGTCTTTGCACCACTAACTTTCAGAGCCACGCGAGTCAGAGGGCGTTCCCTGGGAATCTGACAGTATCCCTGTGGTCAGGGCTATCTGACCGCTTTCAGAAAGGTGATTGTTGACTGTTTCTTTGAAGGTCCCTGGGGATACAGATCCAAATTCCTGTCTCCTCCACTCTTGGTTTGCCATATCGTGATTTCCACACCCTTTGTCTAATCCCACATCCTAAGGAACCAAACTCTGGTCAGCATTATTGTGCTGACTGTGAGGCAAGCCAGGCTCCTAGGTAACAACTCTTAAACCGGAATCTGTCTCTCCTCTGCATGGCGGCCATTTCATTATAAAGTCCCTGAAAGAAGAGACAGTGGTGTTTGTTCAAGGTTTGCTGGTTGAATTAGACAGCATTCCACCCCCTTTCTCCAGAGACTCCTTCTACACATATGTGTCCTCCTGCCTGTCCTCCTTCCCAGCGCTTCTTCACCACCCTCCTCTCCTTTCCTTCCCGTGTGAGTCACCCATCCCTGGGTTACTGCCCCAATCTGCCTTTTCTTCTATTCGTGGCCCACCTTCTCAAATGGATCATTTATGCCAGAGCCCCCAACTACTTCCCTGTCAGGTCAGTCTCACCTCTGCTGTGTCACTTCACTCTCCCTGTACCTCACAGGGGACCACATGTGGCATTTTCCTGATTCAAGATGTTCCTTCTTTCATGACCCCTTTGTTGAATTAGCATTGAGACAGTGTCTTCCCTACTCTCGTAAGGTATCAACCCGCAGGCATGTCATTTTACATGCCGTGGGTTTATGATCATTATCTTATGATGTTTCATGTGTTTCTCATGTTGTTGCAGTTCCTACGACCAGAATCCCTTTCTGTACCTTGTCAGCAGACACCCGTCTTTTTTCCTGAATCCACTTCTTTTGGAGCCATAGGCCTTTGAGATCTCAGGGGGAAAAGTGGCAAAACCAGAGACAGACCTGATTCACAGAATCTTGCAAGCCCCTGTGAATCCCACAGTGCACCACTCTGCCTGTCCTCTCGGGAGCAGGTCACGCGGAAGCTCAGTTCTATCCCGAGGATGATGTTCTACAACCCCATTCTTTCCTCTTCCATCCCCATGACAACCCATATATGATGATATGCATCTGGGGTGTTATCAAAGGAGATGAGAGCGTTAAGCCTGCAAATGCAGCCTTCGCTGCTGCTTCGAAGTTGCTGCTCTTCAGGGGTTTCTTGGAATCTTAAACTATTCCTCTGTTGGAGCTCACGGCTTAGTACCTATCAGCACAGCTAGGCATAGTGAGAAAATACAGCTACTCCATAGCACCCCTCAGTCAGGCGCTATGTAAAGTCTGTGTCTTAACAAATAGCTAAAACTGTGTTCTTTGCTTCCCCCTAGTTCTTATGTAACCACAGAGATCTGCAAACCTAGGCAAGAAGGGAATGCAAAATGTCTCCAAATCTCCATGCCTTTGATAGAGAATTTTAAGAAGATCTGGAGGAAAGCAAGAGAGAGCGACTTAATTATGTTAAGATTGACTCCAAAAATTGTTTTCACTTAACAGACATTTATAGATTGATTCTCAGCAGCAGTTCTTAGTTTTTCTAATTTGTCTTCCCCATTTGCATGTAATTTCTTTATCATTATTATACTTGAAGTTCTGGGGTACATGTGCAGAACGTGCAGGTTTGTTACATAGGTATACATGTGCCATGGTAGTTCGCTGCACCCATCAACCTGTCATCTGCATTCGGTATTTCTCCTAATGCTATCCCTCCCCTAGCCTCCCACCCCTTCCAACAGACCCAGTGTGTAATGTTCCCCTCCCTGTGCTCATATGTTCTCATTGTTCAACTCCCACTTACGAGTGAGAACATGCAGTGCTTGGTTTTCTGTTCTTTTGTTAGTTTGCTGAGAATGATGGTTTCCAGCTTCATCCATGTCCCTGCAAAGGACATGAACTCATCCTTTTTTATGGCTGCATAGTATTCCATGGTGTAGATGTGCCACATTTTCTTTATCCAGTCTATCATTGATGGGCATTTGGGTTGGTTCCAAGTCTTTGCTATTGTGAATAGTAGCATCTAATTTTGAGAGCAGACAAATCCCATCTTTTCCCATCCAGCCCAGCCAGGGAACCTCCAGAGTTGCTTTGCAGATATGGCATGGATCCTGCAGAATGAGGATGACCTCTTCCATGGTCCACATTCTGGCCCTTTAAAAAATAAAGCTGGTAGCAGGGGTCGGGGGCAAGAGCTAGAGGGTTCCTCCTCAGTGAGTTTGATGAAGGGAGAATATAAAACTTGGCTGATCCTAGCCCACCTGGAAAGGGTAGCCAGAAGCTTGTATTAATTTATTGATGTCTTCAGAAGGGTGTGGTAGAGGAGGAATCTCATTCAAAGCTGACCCCAGCTCCCAGGAAATCAACACAGTTGCTGGTGTGTAGGGTTCAGCACTAGCCGAGCTCCCTCTTTGTAGCTTCATGCTGTTTTTTTATACTGTTGTGATGTAACATACATCATGTTCACCCAAGCTCCCTATGAAATGACTTTTATAAAGCTCAGTTTTTAAACACAGTCTCTTAGAGATACAACAACAGAACCAGTGCCAGAAAGCAACCTTCCCTTACATGGGCAGTTCTGCCAACATATGAATTTATTACCTCGAAGATCAAAATTAAGAGAAATGGAGAGGGTGTTGAAATGATCAGCAAAAATTAAATGTAAAATGTATTTTTATTGGAAGTCCGATGCTGTATTATCAATAAAGCACACATAGCAAAGATCCACCGAGGAGTGATTTTTCAAGAGTCAAGAGCAGAACTTCTAAGGCTTTGAGGTGGTGCAGCTGCTGAAGCCGTCACCCCTGGCTGTCGCCTATCTCAGTGAGCCTGAGTTGAATGTTTCGCAATGTCATATTCCACAGGGGGGATACTTGGTGCCCACAGCATGTGATCGGTAGCCGAAAAGGAAGCATTGGACCAGAATGTCATGGAAGAAGACAAAAGCTCACTTACCTTCCATGGCAGTATGTCTATGAACATGTTAATCATTGTTCATATAAACGTCTCAAATAGTTGGCTGAAAAGTAGACTCTGTTTGGTGTTAAGTCTCAACTTATTTTCAAGGGAGGATGAGATATGGTTATATACTTAAGAAGTATTTTGTGAATAAAGAGTTTCAAAATATTTGGGGAGTAGTAGTTTGGCATTCATTTTATTCCCAGTCACATTTCATGGGCAATAATTTTCTGTCTAAGGTAGTATCTGACTTACCTACTGATGCTTTCTGTTAGTTCCATTAGCATGCTTATGCCATCGGTAAAAGCAATCCAGCTTGAACCCTTTCAACCATTTTTTAATTTGTCTTTGCATGCTGTAGATAGCATTTCTGAAATCATTATCTGCTGGAAAGAGCAATTGTCTAGAGCAGGTTTCTCAGTCTTCACTCTGCACCAAAGTCACTCAGGAACTTGTTAAAATGCTGATTCTGATGTGGTAGGTCTGGGTTAAGATCCTGCACCCCAGGTATTGTTGATGTTGCTGGCCCACAGACCACCCTTTGGGAAACAGAGATCTATAATATATTTCTGTATTATCTTGCTTTTTTCATTTGGTAAATAGAAGCCTTTAGTTACTGTGCCTTTCTGCTCTCAAATTAGGCTAGATGTTGCTGGGATTGCCTTGTGAGTAGATTTTTCTTTATGAGACAGTTTGCAAATTGAAACTCTGGCTATCCTTTTTTTTTTTTTTTTTTTTTTTAACAAAATGCCATTGACTGAGAACCCCATGTGCAAAGTTTTCCCAGAGACTTAAGTTGAAATTCAGTTGTAAATTGGTAGGGGCTGCAGATTTAATTCCTATGTGTAACCCCAACACCAAGAAAAGTAAAAATCTGAGGAGCTGGGTGGGAAAAGCTTTAGGTCCAAAAATGCAAAAATGCTAGCTGAGAAAGAGGAGTGAGTAATACCAGAGTTTAAAAAGAAAATTATCTAATTCTCCAAAGCCCTGAAGGGTAGGATTTCACAGACCACACTAGTAGGAGAGATGTTTGCAGCCAAACAGACCAAATACATTAGGAGATTCTGTATTGAATTTCACGTTGCATGTCATTTCTATTCTCTTTGGGATATGAAAATAGGAAGAGACACGTCTTCTGCAACATAGCCAGTCTCTTTGAAGATTGACCCATCAAATTCCCAGTTTTAAATGAAGTTAAAATATCTGTTTAAAGAGAAGCTTAAAAACAATTCCATGGCCCTACCCTCCAAGTGAAATTTTGTAGCTATCTCCTGGTGTCTGGCAACAAAATGCCTACTGAGATATCTGTCCATGGCCTTCCCTTGGCCCAAAATGACACATGACATTGAACTGAGACCCGTCAATCCAAGAAGACATAATTTTGAAATGGTTGTTTATTAATATTGCATGTAGAAATAGCCTTAGATATGCACTCTTAGTAAGAGTATGTATAATAACGTTTCTGGAATATGTGTTGAAACAAACATGAAATTACTTAGAGGTTTGATCATCATGAGTAGAACCCACACTGAGGATGCAGAGGTATAGTTATTAAATTTGCATATGCAAAGTGATGAAGGTTTGTGGGACAAGTGATATTACTTTATAAATACAAAGAAATGATTGGCATGTACTTAATCTCAGAAGGTCATCATTAATGTGCTGTGAGAGCAATAGTATTTCAGTCCTGTAATTCATTTCATGCAGTTCATGTTAGAGAAATTCTAAATTTGTTTAGAAAATAAGAAAGGGGAGACACTTGCCTGTAGAAGTCACTAGATAGGACTGATTTAATATAAATGGATGAGATTATAAAGGGAAAATGAGAGTTGGCTAGGAGAAGCAACTGGCAAACAAAAACATAAGGCAGCGATCATTTTCCAGGAGAAGCAAGAAGAAAAGAAGCTGAATGTTGTTTGATGGGTTTAGGGGCAGACTTCAAACAAAAATTGGTTGGTTCATCCAAGTTGTAGACTCTGTTTTGGGTGAGTCATGAAGTTAATAAGGAGACAGATGTAGATCAGTCCCAGTGGAAGCAGGATGAACTAGATTGTAAAAAACTTTTAATAGGGTCTTGACTTATGATTGTAGGAAATCAGAAGAGTCAGCAAGCTCTGGGAGAATCTGTCAATGGGAGTTTTCAGATAAACGGGTGAGAATTTTAGACCACTGTAATATATGAAATTATAATTTGTAAACAAAACTCAAATCTAGTAGAATATTTCTTTGGATCACCAGATTTTTTTTGCACAAAATTTATTCTAATAAATGCAAAACCAAATAAAAACTCAAAACGTCTCATATAAAAATTACATGATTGGTCTTTTAGTCAGTTTATTTGTCTTTACAGATTTGCCGTATGAGCCCCCCAGGAGATCAGCCTGGACCGGTCATGGCCATCCTACGCCCCAGTCGAAAGGTACTGTGTTGGTCCCCATGGCTCTGAGTTTCATGTCATAAGCAGTGGATGACTGCTGATGCAGTAAATAATAAAATTTCTGTGGTTAATCTGTGATTTTGCAACATGGAGTGGGTTTGTTCCATTGACAACAGAGTACAATTGATCTTTAACTGCCGTGATTCTTTTTCTATCTGGGTCATCACAAATTTCATAACAAAAATGAAGGAATGATGTAGTGTATTTCAGCCTCCACAAATTCATGCTTCGTGGGATGTTTGAGTACACATTAAATAATCGGTGATTTCCTGAATCTTGGCCATGCTTGAAAGTGTCCCTGGCTTTACTTTATTTGTTTGGTGGTTTCCCTTTATGTATCTATGTTAGACTGTGATTTATTGTAATATGTTTGGTAAGCCATCCCAAATTCTTTTTCTTTAATTTTTGGAAAAAGTGCGGGGGATATCCATTCTTTAAATGATTGGAAATGTCCTCTCTTTTTTTGTTACGATGTTTACATTTGGTTTAATTAGAAAGGAAAGGTTTTCCTTATGAGATGCTTCTGAGTTAGACTACTGTGTTAATAATGAAATTAACTGATAGAGTGATCACATAACAACATCAAAGACTAGTGACCAAATCTAAGTTATAGCTCATTGTCTTTTGTATTTCTGGATTTTCAGCTGCTCAGCCATCTCCTTCCACAGTGCCCAAAACTGAAGACCAGCGTCCTCAGTTAGGTATGTTTCAGGGGCCATCTGGATAACCATAAAAGAAGATTCAGGCTCAGCAGGGAATTTCTAAAATGCATCACTTTTTAATGGAAATTAACACGATTTTTTGCTTCTTTGCGACTGCTCCATACATAAGATCCAAATCATCAGTCTACTCCAATGAGGTGACTTGAGATGGTGCTAAAATACTTCCACAACTATGCAATAAACATGGAAAAAACATTCTTCTTGCACACAGACTGCTGCTTTGTGATTGATAAATTTTATTTTTAATTTTCCTTTCCGTGCCGGAAAAACATAGCCTGGATGGCCCCGGACTGATGGGGCTTGGCACATGTCTGCCCTCTTTATATCACTAGTTGGTGTGAGCCCTGGGCTACGTGTCAGGAACTTGGGATTGAATCCAAGCTCTGCCACCAGTTAGGAGTCCCCTAGCAAAATATCTGAGATGCTGTGTGACATCTTCTCTCATAGAGAAGGTGGAGGCAGGTGATTTGGAATTGGGGGAAATTTTTAGCTGTGCAATCTGAAAACACAATGGATTCAGGCATTGTGTCTGAAGTCACATCATACTGTGTCACAACTGTGCCTAGAATTTGACTTTGTTTCTTTTTGCTGTAGATCCTTATCAGATTCTTGGACCAACAAGTAGCCGCCTTGCAAATCCAGGTGAGAAACGGCTGATGATTTTCTGCTTACAAAATTACTTTTTTGACAGTGGCTACTTTGAAAAGTAAATTGGTACTGGTGAGAAATTCCTTCAACTGAACAAATTTTAGTTTGCGGTCTCACCGAATTATTTACCTTAATGGAAAAATGGGTTGGGTTATAAATTAAGATTTCAGCTTCAGCAAAGAACATTATAACTGAATCCAAGCTGTAATAGTTTTCTGTGGCTACTATAACAAAGTACCAGGGACGAGGTGGCTTAAATAACAATATTTTATTGTCTAGTGAGTTCTGGAGGCTGGAAGTCTGAAATCAGAGTGTTATGGTAGCGGCTCTGTTCCTTATGAGGGCTATGAGGGAAGGGTCTGTTCTGGGGAGTCGTCTCCTTAGCTTACAGATGGCCATCATCTCTTTGTGTCTCTTCTCATCATCGTCTCTCTATGTGTGTCACAGTGTCTCTGTGTCCAAATGTCGGCTTTTCACAAGGACTTTGGTCAGACTGGAATATCCACTCCATAACCTCACTGTGACTTGATTACCTTAGGATCTTATTTCCAAAAGAAGTTCACATTCAGAGGTACCAGGGATTATGATTTCAACATAGGGATTTGAAGGGACACAATTCAACCCATTATACAAGCAGATAAAATTACTAGTATTTTTTTTTTTAAAGAGAGCCTTAATTACAACCACAAGACTCCAGATTCAGGCTCATCTCCGATGCTCTGTTTCTGAACTTCGATGCCAGAAAAAAAGTGCAGATTCTTGATTGGCCCATTTGTAACCAGTGCATTGCCAAGGTTTGTCACCTGCCCTTGTGTTTCAGTGCCAACCACATAGTTTTATTTGTTTGTGTTCAGATCAGAACCAGCTGTGCTGGCACCAACTTTAGAAATTCATAGCCTATGCTGCATATTCCCAACTGCAAATTCAGATGCCAAGATGTCACAGGCATATTGCAAGCACAAGATGGAATGTATATTTCCTAAACTTTGAGGCCAAAATAAGGCTGGAAATGGAAAAATTCAGATTTAATCAGTGTACACCCCAGCAAGAGAATCTATACATTGAAAACACAAAATGTTATCATTATTGAACATCTGCATTTTTGATGTTAAATTTGGTCGATGTTAATGAATTCAATAAATATATTTTACACAGCTGAAAATCCAACAAAAACTAGTTAGCCTGGGGGTAGACTAGGTGCTCAGTGATTATCTGTTGCATACATGAATGCCAAGGATCGTGAGATGTAGTCCTGTAGCTCAGGGAGCTCTCGGCTGACAGAGGAATGGACACAGGTAGTTACAACGTTGTTCCCACCATGGGGCCACAAGCCCTTTTCACTCATGCTGGGTTTCATCTGGTAGCCCAGTCTCCTGAGGCTGTGGTCCCTTCTCAGACTTCTGCTCAGCTTTTCATTTGCAACTGCCATATAACCATTCAAATAAAAATAATGACTATGTTTTGAGATGATAATTATCAGTCATGCTTCAGGAAGACTGATCTGGCAGCAATGTTCAGGATAGATTAGAAAAAAGAAGATGATGGAAGCTGAAACACTCTGGGAATGTTAATACAATCATGTGAAATAACAATCAAACAGCTCCCACCCCACAGCACAACCCCCATAGAATGTCTGTGGTCCCTTCTGCACCTCATGACAGCCCTGGGAGGTTACTATCTCCATACTGCAGAAGAGGAATTAGAAATCCAGAGAAGTTAAGTAACTTTTCCTGCGTCACATAGCCAATGATAAGGGAGGCCAGATTTGAAACCTGATTCCGTCTCCAAAGTCTGCTTTTGTTTCCTTGCCCTACTCTGTCCCTAACGAAGCATGAAGTGAAGAAGAGGCATTAGAAAATGCAGACTGTGGGACTAGAAAGCAAGGATTTCCTTTCAGGGTACTAACTCCTTAGGTCTAGGCAATGAATCTCAGGTCAGGAAGGAAGAGGAGGAAAGTCAAGCTGCACCAAAGAAGACCAAACTGGCCTTTGCACTCACTCACACATCGGCCGAATGAAATACATGTCCATGACCAGGTTGTCACAGCTCAAATGTACTGCTAAGCTTATTTGTAGAACAGGGCCAGGAATGACTTGCTCCTAAGCACAGTGCCAACTCTCACAAGAAATCACTGCATCTGCCCTGGGCTCAGCAGCCTGGGGATGTCCTTTGTAGACAGAGGAAGCTGAGCTCACAGTAAGGAGACTGAAAACCCATCACAGGCCTGGGGAAAACAGGACTGTGCTGCTTTTTTTTTTTTTTTTTTTTTTTTTTGAGACAGAGTTTCGCTTCTGTTACCTAGGCTGGAGTGCAATGGCGCAATCTCGGCTCACCGCAACCTCCGCCTCCTGGGTTCAAGCAATTCTCCTGCCTCAGCCTCCCGAGTAGCTGGGACTACAGGCATGTGCCACCATGCCCTGCTAATTTTTGTATTTTTAGTAGAGACAGGGTTTCACCATGTTGACCAGGATGGTCTCGATCTCTTGACCTTGTGATCCACCCGCCTCAGCCTCCCAGAGTGCTGGGATTACAGGCTTGAGCCACCATGCCCGGTGTAGGACTCTGCTTCTTACCATTAAGACTATTCTTAATGACCCTGGGGAAAATGGCAACATCCAACCTTTGATTTGCAGCCAAGTGTCTTTAAGATAAAAATTTATTTCATTTAGTTTCTGATGAATTTGACTTTCCCTCCCTCTGTGCTTAGGTCTGTGTCTGTTGTGTTCATATGAACTTTTCCCCTGAAACCAGAATGTCTTTTATCTTTGTATTAATGAGAATGCTTCTTCCTGTTTGATTCTATTTTTCTCCTCTCTGATAAATAAATCCTTCATCACTTAAAAATTGCTGCCTTTGCTCTTCATACAATACAAATTCCTTTTCATCATTTTGAGCGGAAAGGTTACATCATACAGTATGAATGCACAAGATGATACCAGCATCCCAACAACTCGGGCCAAATATTCATCTGATGTGCACTTCGGACATCACTTCTCCTGCTGAGAAAAGTGTGTCCCTGCATTCTGATATCATGGACTGGTTATAAGCAAGACAGCTCCTTTATGTCCCATCAGAGCAGCTGAGAGTATAACATGGTTCCTCTAATGAAAGAGCTTTGTTGGGCTGTGTTCAGAGGCTCCCTTGGTGCTAACTGGATACTCTTCAGTGGTGAGCATGAAAATGCATCCTGCCTCTTCAGAACTGCAGACCAGGTTAGGGTCGTTCTGCCATTTGTAAGGAATTGGGAGTGTGCCGTCTTCCAGTGGGAGCCCCCCAGGGAGCGGACAGCATGGAAAGGACCTGAGGAGGCTGCAGAGGTGTGCACACGCCAGGCCCGAAAGCAGGTTTGGGCAGTGCTTGGGCATGGCAGCGTAGTGGCTGCGTGCCGACCCATGCTGACGCTGAGCAACATCCGTCAGTCTGCCTCTCTGAGCGTTACTTCCTCACTTCTCCTTGGGCTAATCTCATGATTCTTGTGGGGATTAAATCAACTGACACATGTAAAGCATTTAGAATGGTGTGTGGCACACAGTGAGCTTTCAAAAACTGTCAGTCAGCCTGAGAATAGCACCATTTCAAGCTTCTGCATGGTTCTGCAGGCCACTTGAACAGCACAGGTGTTCCTCCGTCTTTAAGCATTTCCTGGCTATAAGGGAGGAGTGTTATCTTTCCTTAAACTCTAGTTTTCAGCCCACAGAAATTATGGTGAGACCATTCCTGTACTGAGTTCATCCTTACCATGATCTTGCAAGTACTATTACCATCATCCCCTCCCTACAGATGAGCACACTGAAGTAGAGAGAGGTGGGAGAGTTGCCAAAGGTCCCACAAAGGGCAGAGGCAGGATTCAACTGAGGCAGTGCCAGCTCCAAAGTTGGTGCTCCCTACCACCAACCTTTCCTGCCCCTCCAGTAAGTGATGCCTGGGCCTCACCGAGCCTCGGGGAGAGACTTCCATTCAGGACACACCTGCTGCCTTGCAGAGGGTCCAGGCTGTGCACACGGGATCTTCTGCACCACCCGCGGCTTCTACAGAAAGTGGCCCCAAACCACTGCCACCGTGGTACTGGCAAGGCCCCTCACTGCTGTGTTTACTGTCCTGGTTTCATCAGCTGACGGCTGCAGGGCTTCGCACAGGGAAGCTGTTTCCACCAGACCCACAGCTGCTGAGTCACTCTGCAGCTCTCTGCTTTGCCCTGTGGTTTGTAAACCGTTTAGGGTTGGTTGTGTGTGTGTGTGTGTTTTGCCTCTTTACCACCCTGTTTCTCTCCCTTTCTTTTAACAGTATTAGGAGATTTCTTTGCTCTGTAAAATGGAAGGAGTGCCTTCTGTCTTCTTAAAAGCCACAGCCACTCTCTTTCATCCACAGGGTTCTCCGTAGGTGGGCAATGCTGCTTGCCACTGTTTTTTACTCCCAAATCTGTTTTGTTTTGGTAGTTACCCTAAGAAAAAGCTGGTTCCTCCTTACTGACATTGCAAGGATGTTATTAAGATAGAGTGAAAAAATAGACCTGAAGGGTTTACCCAAGAAAGGTGAGTCCTGAGGTAGAGGCGGTGATGCTCCTCGGTGAAAGTTCTTGTCTTTCAAGAGCGTCTCTTTGTAATTCCTGGTTTGGCCCATGAGTAACCCAAGCTGCTTTTAGGCTTTCCTAAACCCTAAGCATTCGTGTTTGGAAATCTCTATTCTATATTCTGAAATGCACCTCATCCCACATTGAAATGTTATTGTCTTAGAAGTAAAATAAGAATTGAAAAACTGCTCTTGAAATTCTACGACTGAGAATAACTCATTTAATTTACCATTGACATGTTTTTTTTTTAGCAACCATTGTTCGGTTTTGAGAATTCTTGCAGTGAGAAAATTCACTCTACACACTCCAAAATGCAGTGAATTTTGTTACAGATATTAAATTTAACAATTAATGAGTTTGACCTACTGTTACTCTTTCTATCATTTACTTAAACATTCTTTGATTTTTGCATTTCCAGGTTTCTTTTAAGGTTTGAAAGCTGATGAGTTTTGCTTACAGATCTCTTATGTCTATAGACCCTCCCTTGAAAGGCTCACAGGCCTGAGCCTGTGTCTTCCTGGCTAATGGGTAAAACAGTCAAGTGAGAAAATTAGCTCGTCCCTCCTTTAGGCATTGAGTGTGCAGCCACGAATTTAGGTCCTCTGCTTTCTAACTCTTCAGAAATAGGAAAGACATGAGATCACTTTTTTCCCACTGGTTCTGTCCTTTACACGTTTATAGGAGAATTGGGTGAGGGACAAATTCCTAAGAGGCAATGCCAAGGTTTGTGTAGATCCTGAGTGTGATTTCGGCAGGTTTGTGGAGTTGCTTTCTCTATGGGAGAAAGTTGACGCTGAATATTTGTTTTCAAACAACCATATGTGTTTATATGGAAGCATCTGTTAGACTGTTAAATCAAAAATCCATCCTTTTTCCTATTCCCAGGTCATACATGGAATTTTTTTCAAGTTGTAATTTTTTGGTTACAATATACATACTAAGACCATATGGTTTTCTCATACTATTCTTTGTATTTTCTAAATGCATATTATTGAAATGTTGGAGGCAACAAAACTTGATTGGGAACAGTTTGTGTATGTGGTTCTGAAAAAGCAAAGGCTTCCACTGCAATGAGCTACAAGCTGTTAATACATTTCAAATGTGTTGCTAGACTGAAAATGAGCACTTTCCAGAATAGATTCAGAAAAAGCTGACCTTTCTCACAGTGGTGTTATATGCATGAATTCACAAACATATCCATTTCCATGTAGCCAACATGCAAAGAAGGGTTTATGAATAGGGCGATACCTACAGGAGGCTAGTGAGGATTTAGAGAAAAACAGACTTATAATTGATTTTTACATTATATTAATTCCCTGAGTAGATGCCAGTTAAGATTACTTTAATCATTTTATCACATCAATTGATACTCCTTACAATATAATAGAAGGTGATCTTTTTGGTAATAAGCCTAAGGCAGTGATCTCACTGGAATTTGGGAGGAAAGACCCGCCTCCCATCCATTCTTAAGCTTTTGAAATACGGTCAGCACAGCTTAGCTTCTCTGGGTACTGACATTACTGTCAGTATTTCCATGCTCCTGTCTTCTAGGGAGCCATACATGATGATGGCTAGAATGATGTACCTAGATTTTTCTTTCAAGTTCATAAGACAAAGCCAGATCTGTGTGCTCTCAACGAAATCAAGACAGTTCTGATTTTGTGCTCCCAGCTAAATGCGATGTCTGTGACTAAGGAAGAGTCTCGTTCAGCTTCCCAAGGGGACTTGCAATCACTCATTGCTGGGGCTTTTCTTTTGGAAATGCTGCTTCACACCGTTGGCATTGCAGGGCACCGGCAGCACATGGGTTTCCGTTACAATGCGCTTGACCAAATACTGGAACTCGGTGATCTGGTCTGAAAAAGAGCCAGCTTTTTTTTTTTTTTTTTTTTTCCTAAACTTCCTCATTTTGAGTGGGTTAATTCTGTTCTAGGAAAAATTTTGACAGAATTGCTTTCTGAGCGCCAGCAAAATGTTATGTGAGAAATAATGGTGTTTACATCCATTCTCTATTTTTTTCCATAAACGTTTAGAAGTTCATTTCCTAAATCTAACTTTTATTATCTTATTCGACCCAGCCAATATAAATGGCATTAAGTCATTATTGCCACCCACAGAACGATAACTTTCTGCTTCACAAGATAGGAAAAAAATATATAGCTCTTTCATCCTCGAAACACCAGGTTGATCTGGCTGTTCTTTTAAGGAAGTCAGAAACGGATTGAACCAGCCTGAACCTTGCCCCATATGAATTCCCTGCATTCCACTGAGGTCCTGGATCTGTCAGGACACTGTCCTAGGTCAGGTTCCCTAAATGCAGAGCTTGGGGTAGGGCTGTTTAACGGCGTGTTCTCGAGAGAGAGACAGAGAGAATGGGAAGAAGCCCAGGGCTTGGGGAGAGATCAGTTTCTGGCCTCCTCCAAGCCTCCTGCAGCTGGATATGTTTCAGCCCCATCCCGCAGGAGCCCTGGAGTCTGAACAGCATCAGGGAGTTGGTCTTCCCTTGAGGGAAGGGGCCGGCCCACAGGACCCTGTTGAGTCCACCCAGCTGCGGGAGACCTGGGTCTGGGGGAGGCGGCAGCTCTGTTCAGGCAAGGGCAGTTCTCTGGAGAAGGGGGTCATCATGGAATGACAACAGTCAGCACCCTCGCAGCCGAGGGATGGGCGGACAGGCCTGGGGAAGGGAATGTGGGTGGCAAACCCACAGCACCCCCTTCTATCATCAGAGCGCCCCTTTCCCTTGGAACCTGTGCTCACTGGAGTTTTCCTTCCTCTCCTGACACCTCATTAGGCAGTGGCCAGATCCAGCTTTGGCAGTTTCTCCTGGAGCTCCTGTCGGACAGCTCCAACTCCAGCTGCATCACCTGGGAAGGTACCAACGGTGAGTTCAAGATGACGGATCCCGACGAGGTGGCCCGGCGCTGGGGAGAGCGGAAGAGCAAACCCAACATGAACTACGATAAGCTCAGCCGCGCCCTCCGTTACTACTATGACAAGAACATCATGACCAAGGTCCATGGGAAGCGCTACGCCTACAAGTTCGACTTCCACGGGATCGCCCAGGCCCTCCAGCCTCACCCTCCGGAGTCATCTCTGTACAAGTACCCCTCAGACCTCCCGTACATGGGCTCCTATCACGCCCACCCGCAGAAGATGAACTTTGTGGCGCCCCACCCTCCAGCCCTCCCTGTGACATCTTCCAGTTTTTTTGCTGCCCCAAACCCGTACTGGAATTCACCAACTGGGGGTATATACCCTAACACTAGGCTCCCCACCAGCCATATGCCTTCTCATCTGGGCACTTACTACTAAAGACCTGATAGAGGCCTTTCCCATCAGCATGCATTCACCAGCCCGTTGCCACAAACTCGATCGGAGAACATGAATCAAAAGTGCCTCAAGAGGAATGAAAAAAAAGCTTTACTGGGGCTGGGGAAGGAAGCCGGGGAAGAGATCCAAAGACGCTTGGGAGGGAGAAGTATTACCACAGAAATGAGGAGGATCTAAAAATGTCATGAATATGGACATATCATCTGTGGACTGACCTTGTAAAAGACAGTGTATGTAGAAGCATGAAGTCTTAAGGACAGTGCCAAAGAAAGTGGTCTTAAGAAGTGTATAAACTTTAGAGTAGAGTTTGGAATCCCACTAATGCAAACTGGGATGAAACTAAAGCAATAGAAACAACACAGTGTTGACCTAACATACCGTTTATAATGCCATTTTAAGGAAAACTACCTGTATTTAAAAATAGAAACATATCAAAAAACAAGAGAAAAGACACGAGAAAGACTGGCCCGTCAACCGACGTTGATCTGCAACGGCACGGCGTGTGCCTGCTTTGGTTGAAATCAAATACATTCCGTTTGATGGAGAGCTGTCAGCTTTCTCAAACTGTGAAGAGGACCCAAAGTTTCCAACTCCTTTACAGTATTACCGGGACTATGAGCTAAATGGTGGGACTGAGGATGTGTATAGAGTGAGCGTGTGATTGTAGACAGAGGGGCGGAGGAGGAGGAGACAGAGAAGGAGGAGACCAGGGCTGGGAAAGAAACTTCTCAAGCAGTGGAGCCCGGACTCAGAATATTTGGGGACTGTGTACAATGAGATAACGGAGACTGGAGGGTTCATGCAGTCAGTATTATACCAAACCCAGTGTTAGGAGAAAGGACCCAGTGTAATGGAAAAAGAGGAAGTAGTAGAATTCAGAAACAAATGTGCATCTCTTTCTTTCTGTGTCAAATGAAAATTTTAACTGGAATTGTCTGATATTTAAGAGAAACATTCAGGACCTCATCGTTACGTGGGGGCCTTGTTCTCCACAGGGTCAGGTAGGAGATGGCCTTCTCAGCTGCCACAATCAAATCACGCAGGCATTTTGGGTAAGCGGCCACCAGTTTTCCTTTGAGTCGCGAACGCTGTGCGTTTGTCAGAATGAAGTATACAAGTCAATGTTTTTCCCCCCTTTTTATATAATAATTATATAACTTATGCATTTATACACTACGAGTTGATCTCGGCCAGCCAAAGACACATGATAAAAGAGACAATCAATGATATAATGTGGCCTTGAATTTTAACTCTGTATGCTTAATGTTTACAATATGAAGTTATTAGTTCTTAGAATGCAGAATGTATGTAATAAAATAAGCTTGGCCTAGCATGGCAAATCAGATTTATACAGGAGTCTGCATTTGCACTTTTTTTAGTGACTAAAGTTGCTTAATGAAAACGCACTGAATGTTGTGGGTTTTGTGTTATAATTTTACTTCGTCCAGGAACTTGTGCAAGGGAGAGCCAAACAGAGAGGATGATTGGCACCCAAATGAGGTCAGCCTCTCGGGGTCCTTCTTATCCACTCTCCTCTCTCATATTTCTAGCCCCTGCTGGAACAGAAGGACCCCAGGTTTCACATCGGAGCCTCCGAATTTAAACCTGGAATGGAAACCGGCCTATGAAACTGGGGTTGTCATTGAGAAACTCTAGTTCAGCACCTGGTCACAAATCACCCTTAATTCCTGCTGTGATTAAAAAAAAAAAAAAATTGTCGAATGGTGAATGAGCTATCTCTCGTAATACAAACTGCATTATTCTTGGTAAATGAAGCGTCATGGATAGCTGCAATTTCTCACTTTACAGAAACAAGGGATAACGTCTAGATTTGCCACGGGGTTTCTCTTTCAGAAGATATCACTAGGTAGACAGCTTTTAATCTTCCTACATCAGAATAGCCTGGGCACGGTGGCTTGGAACTCACTAGCTCTGAGCCTGATATTGCTGGCTATCCCTTGAAGACACTGTTTGCTTATATAACCTAGAATCAATTTCCATGGGCATCTTTTCTGTGCATCACAAATGCTGCCAGCCTTGATCTAGGTGAAGGCAACTCAAGAGGTGAAATCCAAGGTGAGTGTTGGAAGGTGCTAGCCTAAACATCTTAGCTGAATTGGTTTCTGAATTGGTCCTTTTCATAGCTGTTTCAGGGCTTGTTTTTTTCAGTTTGTAATCCTTTTGCTATGATTATGTGAAGTTGCCAAACCTCTGTGCTGTGGATGTTTTGGCAGTGCTCTTTGAAGTCGGCAGGATACGATTACCAATGCTCCTGACACCCCGTGTCACTTGGATTAGACGGAGCCTGACCATCCATCATTTTCAGCAGCCTGGGAAGGCCCCCAAAGTGCCTGTATCTCCTTAGGGAAAATAAATAAATACAATCATAAAAGCTGGCAGTTAGGCTGAACCAAACTGTGCTAATGGAAAAGATCAGTCATTTTTATTTTGGAATGCAAAGTTAAGACACACCTACATTCTGCATAAAAATACACATTTACTTGGATAATCACTCAGCTCTCTCTTTCAAGACTGTCTCATGAGCAAAATCATAAAAACAAGACATGATTATCATATTCAACTTTAACAGATGTTTTCAGTTAGATCCCTCAACCCTCCAGTCCCAAACCAGGTTATTAGCAAGTCTTATGAGCAACTGGGATGATTCTGAATAACATGATAATACTGAGTTCCTTCAAATACATAATTCTTAAATTGTCTCAAAATGGCATTAACTCTGCTCCTGTTGTAATCTAATTCCAAAGCACCCTCCAGCTATTCATAATTGCATGAACCTTTTCTCTCTGTTTCTCCCCATCTCTTGGCTTGCCCTGATGTACACTCAGACTCCTGTACAATCTTACTCCTGCTGGCAAGGGATTTATCTTCTTTTCTTGTCCTCAGTTATCTTTCGGGCCTTGTATGTGGTAAAATCGCCAAATCTCAGTGAAGACTTTATTTTTATTCCCAGTTTGAGGCCCTTGTTATGTCCTGGAGGGGTTCATGAAGTGCTTTGTCAGGACTGCTGCAGTTAGAAGGCTCTGTGCTCCTCCTAAACCCTCTGGACAGGTGTAGCATCTGCGGCAGGAGCCCCGAGGAGCTACCTTCTGACAGCAGGTGCAGCAGAGATGGCTGCAGCTCGGGAGCTGGGAAGGTGGCGGGGCACAGGGAAAGCACAGATGTTCTGCAGTGCCCCAAAGTGACCCATTGCCTGGAGAAAGAGAAGAAACTTATTTTTTTTAAAACGGGTTTAATTAGCCTCTCATTACTTGATTGAAATAAAGTTGTGAGATGACTAATTAGAGAATAAAAATTACTTTGGACTATTCAAAAATACATCAAATTCTGTGCCTTCTCTTTATCTTAACCTTGGTTTAAAGAAATCTTGTTGGCTGGGCACGATGGCTCACACCTATAATCCCAACAATTTGAAGGGCAGAGGCGGGCAGATCACTTTAGTACAGGAACACGGGACAGCTTGGGCAACGTGGCAGTACCCAGTCTCTACAAAAAAATACAAAAATTAGCCAGTCATGCTTGGTGCACACCTGCAGTCCCAGGAGTTCAAGGCTGCAGTGAGCTGTGATCATGCCACCAGCCTGGGTGACAGAGTGAAACCCTGATTCAAAAATAAGATAAATTGTTAACAAAGCAGCCCAGATTAATGCTATATAGAAACAACTAGACAAACTTTTCGAACTTGTAATTTTAAACTCATTTTACCGAGTAAAACAATTATTTTCTCACAAAAGTGTTAAGCTATTATTCTGTTGGAGGAAGTCATAACATTATCTGATTATAATTTGTGCTAGAATATGTCAATTACAAATTTCTGCGGGAAGCATGTTATATGTAGAAACTTTGTGGGGGAAAAAGAAATGGATTTTTCATGTTCTATAACAACACAGCATGTTCCCTAAAGAAGATAATACAGAAATAGTAGGTCGCCAGAATTTCATCCTGACCTGACTTCATAAAACAATCTGGAGATGTTACAAGGTTGTGACTGGTTGAATAAGCACAGCCAAAGAGTACTAATTAAAAGGGACCTCCCTCATCTACAAGGGGGTCACAGGATTAAACCCTTGGCTGCTGCCCTTGAACTTACTTGGTCATACTTTACTTGGATGAGAATACAGAAGAGATCCTGAACACAGTGCCCAATGCCATGGGGCTGAGATGACAGTAGGTTATATGACACATCCAGGATGCCGAAGAATAGGCTAAGGTGATGGGCTAAATGTTAAAGGTATTAGGACATCCATCCAGGCCTCTCCAAAACACCTGGGAGTTTGATGGAGCAGCAGCACATGGGAAAAGGACTTCAGAGTGCTGGAGATGACAGCAATGAGATGTAGACTCACAGCTTTTCATGAGCCATGAATAGGTCAGGTGCTGTATATGCACTGCCTCATTACTCCTTCCAACTGCCCCCATGGGACACTTTAAAAAAATAACGTCTCCACAGATTGAATAATTCACCCAGCATTCCCAAAGTAAGAGGTGGAACAAATGTTTGTTCCAGTGCTAGCTACTCTTAATCTTAAGCTATTTTGTCTCATATGGACAGAAAACGAAACGGGAAGGTGATATGACTGCCCAGTCTTAGGTTGCATTTTCTAAAATAGATCACAAACGAGAACTTATTTGTTATACATTGAACAGATTGCAATATCACTTCTGGGCCTACACTTAAAGAGTGACGTAGGACACTTAGTGAAAATTTAGTGGGGAGAGACAGGGGAATGAGGGAACCCAGGGCTATGCCAAAGAGGGGCTGTCAGTGCCTCTGCTAGAAGTGGAATTACCCTTATCACCCATTGATTCAGGACCCAGCACAGTGCATAACAATATCAAGCTGTCAGAAAATGTTTGCAGCTGTATGCATGAATGAACATCCAGAAAGGTAGTATCTGGACTAAAGGTGGTTCAGCAGGAATCCCCATTGGCCAAATTCAAGAGAACACTTTTTAACAGTTGGAGGAGCTTCAGATGGAGTGTTCAGCCTTTGTCCAGAAGTTCCTGGATATGTAACAACCCTGTATCTATTTGCCAGGTGTTTGGCAGCACATGGACCATGTGGCTCTTTAAGTCTTCTTCAGTCTTGAGCAACTCGGGTTCTGTGAAATAGTGAGTGTTGTCTATACACATACATAGAAAGTCAGGGGTGAGAGTCTGAAGTCTGTGATGGCTTAGCCTCACTCTGATCAGTGCTACTTCGTCCTAAGAGTCAGGAGTACATTAGGGCTTTAGATATTACAGAGGCACTGGAATCACCCCAAACTGAATTATATTGTGACTTTGTGTCTCTAAATTGACTGGAGCCCAGTCTGCTTGGAGGTTAAAATACATCCTATCTTATCAGCACTGCAAAGCCCAAGTGAATGGTGAGAAGCAGCCAACTGACGGGATAAACGATCTTTGCTTGCACGTTTTCTCACTTACAAGGAAGACCATCCCCTGTAGCATACTTGCATAAAAACATGTCGTGGAGGTAGCTGGTCACAGCCTGCTCAGCATTAGACATGGATCAGCTGAAAGAGTGTCAGTCTACTTCAGGGACCCTCAATCCCACTCCAGATTAACCATTTCCACCTCCAAGTGGTCATGGGAGACCAGGAGCCAGGGTCGATTTCCATTTACACTCATGAGGTTGAGGCCAAGGAAGGGGTGGGGTGTAGACAAAATGTACAAGAAAGAATTTGGTGTAGAAATCATGAAACCATCCTGTATTAGTCTCTTAACTCGAAAGTCAGGATGTTTCAAGATGTTAACAACTTTTTATTTTAAGTTCTCTTATTGATTTTTGGTTTTTTACTTGGCAAGAATATAACTGAAACTTGTTTGAAAGGTTTGGAGGTGGGTGGATGGGTAACTTGCCCAACCTTTTAAAATTAAGGGCAAAGAGAAAGGAAAAGGCTAGCTGTCTTCTTTTCTATGGCATCAGGGCAATGGTTTCTAAGCTGTCTCATCAGAATTGGCAGTAGGTTGCTGGCAGGAGGGGGAGGCTGGCATTCCAGTTCTAAATAATTCCTGATATGAAGCTTTCAGGTCCAGAGAGGAGCCTCCCAATGGATATCATTTTCTCCTTTAAACAATAATACTAGTTGCTACTATTTTTGATAATAGTAATAGCTTAGTGCCAAACAATGTGCATACACTATCTTTTTCATTTAACTTGCACAATAGCACTTTGAGATAGTTTTATCCTTATTTTACAGACGTGAAATGGAGGCTTTGAGAGGTTAACCCATGTTATAAATCACTCTAAGTCACAGGAAAATCTCACAACTTTTGGGACTTGAAATTGGAATGGCCTTCCTAAGCCATTGCTTGGACAGCTTTCAGGGCATGTCAAATGGAGTGCCCTCCCCTTATCTAGCTATGCTGGGCAGAAGCCCGGTTGTTGGTAGTTATCAGACAGGAAGCAAAGCGCAGCCCTCCCATTTCCCTGCTGCGCCCTTTGGTTTTAGGGCGGGAGTGCTGCTTGCTGGGGATGCGGGCAGACTCGAGGCCGCTTTGATGGAGAATACAGGACACATGCTGTAGGTGCTCTTCTGGGGTAAGTCCCAGCTGCTGGGCCATAACCTGGGGGAGGCGAGAGGCGCTGGGCCCCACAGCAGAATGAGGGTTCTGCCTCCATCCGCTCTGATGCTTGGGGTCAGAGGGAAGGCCCTCTCAGATCGGGCAGGTCTGGCCTCCAGCAGAATAAATGCTCTTCTTTTTTTCCACCTTTGCAACCAACTCAGGAGTTGCGTGGATGAAATAGAAAGGTCCCTTTCCTACTAGGAAGAATATGGTTTAAGCCCGCAGCAGTGGGTGAGCGCGCACGTCCATCCTTTCACTGACGTCGTTGGGAAGGCACAGGACAGGAAGTGACTCCCATTGGACAGAAACCAGTGGGACCCGCCTCTTCCTGTGAAAGACCGGAAGTGGTGGGAGAGAGCAAGAGTACCCCGTCAGGATCTGCCCCATGGAAACATGCTAGTGAGAAATGGCTGTTCCATGTGACAATCCCACAGTTCTCTTTAGAAGAAACCGCTGTCTTCCTCATATTTTCTAACTGGAGATCCATTCACACTCATGTGGCACAGGGCATTTTAAAGTGGAACTAGGCAGTGGTCACTGGGTTTTAAACCAACACTGTCCGGTCCATGCCTGCTAAGCCACCCCACTCCAATTAAGAAGAAAATACCAAGAGGATTCTAAAGCTTTCATTCAAGGAAGGCCAAAAACTGTTAAGATCATTTTATCTAAGTTCACTTAGCTGCTAAGCAGCAAGGACAGGATTCAGATCAGGCTGTGTTTGATTACAAAGCCACCATGAGGAGCCCTGTGCTGTTTTACCTCTGAGAAAGACCTAAGACCCAATCTCTATCTTATGAGTCAGGCTCACAGGATGGACAACCACGATAGGATGGCCAAACAAGAAATGATGATTAATACGATGACAAGAAGTTAAGCAAGGCAGGAAGAAACTAGGTAGAAGGAGGAAGACAGTTGGAAGGAGGCTGAATTTTAAGTTAGTGTGTGATGTCCAGCTGTGTTGGGGATGGAGGAGAATTCACAGCAAGAGAGCAGGACTGTGATTACCTGGGGCCCACAACAGACCCACAGTAGAGATGTCTGCAAAAGGACCCTGTGTCTTCTATGAGTTTACACTAAGTAAACAAGGGATGCACAATCAAGCCAAATGAATCCAGGCTCTGAGATTATTCAGCTTCAGTTGAGTGAACGCTATGTTTTGAGATCTGTTTACAGGTTGTGATTTCACCAAAATGTTTCCTTTGCTCTGTTCAGTTCTTCAACCCAATTCTCAGTTTTTGTTCTGCTGTATGTCGGGCTCTATAAGAATGGTTTTTGGAGATAATGCTACTGTATTATTAGAATCTAAGATAAAATAAATGTGGAGCAAGAATGTCTGCTCTCATTTATTTAACAAGCATTTGCTCAAAAGTTTTGCTGTCACAATGATTTAAGAGGTACAGAAAGGTGTTAGGGAGTTCTTGCCCTTGGAGAGATTATTCTAGAAAGGGAAAATGTACATAAAAATCTCTAGTGCAAGGCAAGACAATGTGTGAGCTGCATCTGAGTATGAGGAGGGTGCTTACACTCATACAGTGGGCTGAGCAGGAAAGGCTTATTGAAGGAAGTGGTATTTCAGAAGGGGAAGAGTTTTAATGAATAGAATGCATTCCAGGCAGGGACTTTTTTTTTTTTTTTTTTTTTTTTTTTTTTTTTTTTTTTTTTTTTTTTTTTTTTAGCAAAGGCATGGGATCAGAAAATCTTCAGGAGCAAAACATACTAGTGATGGGGAAAAAACAAAACAAAAAATCTC